ACAACCAAAAGGAGACTTTCCCTTCACCCACCCAGCAGCAGAGTGCATGGGACAGGCAGCTCCGGCCCCAGCTGTTGTCGCACTGATAGTGTCTCTCTGTAATGCCGTGTTAACAGCAAACTGGGAATTGCATCTTCTAGCTGTGCAGTTTTGTTGCCTTTCTGAAACCAACACAGGCAGAGAAATCCCCAGGGAAGAAAAAATCCCTGACAGATCTTTCCAAATGCCTGGTGGTCTCTGCTCGCTGATGGAGAGCGTTAACATCTTGGTGCAGGGACAACCACCAGCTGCCAAAGGAGCATGGGGCAAGTGATTTGAGTTCCTTGGCCAAGCCTAGTAGCTATCTTGCCAAGGAAGCTGAGCTTGGGTGAAGAAGTGCCCTTTGCAGCATTGGGCTGTGCACACAGCAGATGGGAATTTGTCCTGTCCCCACCCTACATGGGACACAGCCATCTGGGGATGGTCTGGATACTGGGTATGATAGTCCTGTACCCTTCTACATTGCCTTGTGCAGGGTGCTCAGCAGCCGGTGGGCTCCAAGGCACATCAAGACCAGAGCATCTGGAAGCAAAGGTGTGTTTGAACTGGCACCGAGAGTGCATTTAGGGCACCTTGACTGCACTCTCTTCCCTCATCCTTCCTAGGAAAGTAAGCAGAATTGACACTCAGACCAAAATCCTTCCCAGCCCATGGCCGTGGGCAGCCGCAAGAGTCCCTTGCTGCAGGGAAGCGAAGCAGAAGTGAATTGGGTGGCTGCTGCGTGGAGCGTTGCTTCCTGTGGCACAGCCAGCCCTGTCCTGCTTAGGAAGTCACGCAGCAGGAGCAAGGGCAGTGCCCGGGAGCCTGCCTCGAGGTCCCCATCAGCCCCGAACACGTGGATCTAAACACAGCCAGGACAGGCTGCGGAAGCACCAACGGCAGCTGGAAGACACCTGCAGGCACTGAGGTCTCATCCGGCTGGAGGCAGAGGAGGTTCAGGCGCCGGAGACAGCCAAGCACTAGCAGAGCCTTTGGCACCTAAGCCGTAGGTTTGGCAGCAGCTAGAGGAAGCAGCCGTGGGGCAAGGAAACGTTTCGGTGTGAGTTGCCTGGTGAGTCACTGGACAACCCCACCCCGCTTCGTGCTGCCCCCCCCCCGCAGTGAGGGAGACTTCACCTAAGTGCTGGAGGAGAGCTTCTCCCCGGGAGGGTGGTGCAGCCCCCGCGACAGCACAGAGACCTCCAACCTGGGAGATTTTTGAGACGCAGCCAGAAAAAGCTGTGGCTGATCCGGGCTAGTGCTGGCAACAGACCTGCTGGAAGCAGGAGGTTGGACTGGAGACCCCCAAAGACTCCTCGACACTGCCCTGTCTGGGTGCTCAGGTAGAGCTAAGTCAGCACATTCTTAGGAGCCTTTAATCTTTGCTTGCTGCTTTTCTGCGATCTGTTTTATAAGACTTTCCCGTCAGCTGGACAGCAAAACAATACTTGCTGCTGACAGATGCATACAGACCCTCAGAAATTATTTTCTACCACCCTCTTGGAGGCTGGTAATGAATCAAATCTCTGAGTGAGAAAAAGGAAAATATGAAGTCCTCTGTTGCAATTTCCTGCCCCAGATTACAGAGTGCACCATGCAGAGAAATAAACAGAGCTGTGGCTCTCCCATCCTGCGGTCAGACTGATATAGCTGGCTTCACTGTCTGTAACTCAACATTTCTAGTTTCTCCTGATCCGTGAGATTTCCTGGTTGCTTAGGAATGGGAGTCTGCAGCAAAGCAGCCCAGGCCAGAAAGCGCAGAGCCCGGTAGCTGCTGCCTCAGGAGGAGCCACCCTGCTTCGCTGAAACCCTGCTTTTGGGGTGGGGTGAGACCACTGCCACCGGTGCTGGTGGGGTGTGCTGGACCCACACAAAGGGCAGTGGGGACGAGGGCAGCACCGTCTGCCTGAGGGGCGGCTCTCTGGGGCCGAACCTGCCCAAGCCAGCCCTCCAGTTGGCTGGATCTGAACGGTCTCCTCAGCTGTCACAAGAGTGCTGCCTTTCACCATTGCTCTCCTCGTTTCTAGGTTGTTCACCATGAACGTGGCTGCTCTCCTCCTCCTGGGGCTGGGGCTGTTGGAGGCAGAAGGCAGGTGTTTCTTCAATCGCACTCAGGAGCACTGTGTGTGCTATAACCTGTCCCAGGAAAGCGTAAGCAGCATCATCCAGTGCCTCCCAGCCTCTGTTGTGGAGTTTTTGGGGGGAGAGCTGGAGAGATACGTAGCCTTCCCAATCAGCAACCTGGACCCCTCTGCCATTGAAATGCTGGGCTCCCTTGTCATCAGGAAAATAATTTTTGGTGATCTCCTGGTCCCTGAGATACTCCTTGCCCGAGTCCTGAGGCTCTTCTCCTACACCCAGGTGCAGGAGCTGGTGTTTGAGCGCTGCATTTTCAAGGGGAGAGGCAACTGGGATGAAATGGCCCGCCAGGACTTGCCCATATTGTCCCTGCACTTCCACAACGTGACATCTGCCCCGCTGACAGGCCGTGAGCAGGACTTCTCTAGTCTAAGCAGCTGGCTGGAGACCCTGCAGGAGCTGGCTGTCACTGGCTCCCATGTCACCAACCTGCCCTGTGGCATCGGAAGGGTGTTCAGGGCTCTGCGCTCCCTGGACATGGCACAAAACAGTGTTGGGGATGAGAGCTTGATGCTTGCCTTCTGCAAGGGGGCTTTCCCTCAGCTTCAGGTACTGAGTCTGCAACGCAACAACCTGACATCCTACCACAGCGTGTGTGAAAGCGTGCAGCTGCTGCCTGAGCTCCAGCATCTAGATCTCAGCCAGAACAAGCTCATGGCAGACCTGTCCTCCTCCTGCCAGTGGCCAGCATCCCTCCGAATTTTTAACTTGTCCGACACTGGCTTGGATAAAGTCCTCACACCTCTGCCTCCCAGTCTAGAAGTGTTGGACATGGGCTGCAACCACCTCCATACTGTAGACATCTCCCTTAGCTCCCTGAAGAAGCTCTTCCTGAGCCAAAACATGCTGCAGGCTTCTCCCTCCATCAGGAATTGCCCCATGTTGGAGACCCTCCACCTAGACAACAACTTGATCACAGAGCTGCCATGGGATGAGGTGAAGCTCCTGGGGCGCCTGTGGGATGTGGCTGCAGCTGGCAACCCCTACAACTGCTCGTGCTCTGGGGCCGGGGGGCTCCAGGCGCTGGCGGGTATGGGGCACCTTGGGCAGGGCTGGCCCCAGGACTACATGTGTCACTCCCCACCTCAGTACCAGGGCAGGCTGGTGAGGGACGTGCCGGTCTCAGTGCTGCAGTGTAACAGTGCTGCAGTGATTGCCCCTGTCTGCGTTGCCCTCGCCCTGCTTGGGGTAGCCGGGGCCATCTGCCTGGTCAGATCCAGGCCTGGGCTCACGCGGCCCTGCCGCAGAGTGTGAAGGGGATGTGTGACCGTTCCCACCAGTGCTTCCACACAGGGGCTCAGCCCCAGGGGCTGCAAGGCCAGGATCTCTGTGGGAAGACTCACAGGACCCCCAAGTTCTGGTGAGGGGCTGTCTTGATGTCCCCATTCCAGGCTCCCCTGTGGAGCAGGACTGTCCCCAGCATTATCCCACAGTGGCTGTAGCTCTGCCTGTCCAAGTTTTAGGGAAACCCCCAAGCAAAGCTCCTTGCCTTGCTTTGTCCCAGGGCTGCATCCTCCCAGAGGGGTTTTCCTTATGGCCAGCTCTAACTCCCCAAGCCCCAACAGGCACCCATTGGCCCTGTGATATCATCTGCCCTGAACAAGAGATGTTCAGCTCCATCATATTTGCACCACTGCAGGTGGTGCTCAGATGCCCCAAGCCTCACTGGGGTCTGGTGGTCTCCACCCAGAGCCCCCCCCTGCCCCTCCTTGTAGCCCTGTGCCCCCCAGCCCAGCTGTTCTTGCAGCCCCCATGGCCCCTTTGCTGATCCTCCACCTCTCCTTACCTGGGGCTATGGCTGGGCATGGCTGTGAGGATACCTGGGTTGTGAGGATGTCTGCTTAACTGCTATTTAGTGTAAGAGAAAAACCACAAAAGGCAGGAGAATTAATAAATTAAACACCCCTATACACAAACACTAACAAGTGGGAGGTAACACAGACAGCAACCAAGACCTGAGCTCTCAAGGCACTGGTGGACAAACCCCTCAAGTGTGACCTTGAAGAGGTTCACTCAGAAACTTTTTAACTGGTAGGAAGAAAACGGGTTTATTCTGGGTTCTGGGTTATTCAGAAAATGTCGCATAGGAAAGAGAAAATTGATTATGGGATACTGAGGGAGACTGGGGGAATGCAAAACTTACTGGGGAATGTTTATGGAAAGCATTAAAGGGAGGGTCGTGGTGGGTGGGTAGGGAAGGAACAAGCATGGGAAAATGGGGATGGGGAAGAAGGGGGCTGGTGGTAGGTAGGCCACACTTGCCTGGCAAAGCCCTGTGCTTTGTCCCCATGGTCTGTCCTGCCTTCTCATTAAAATCCATTCCTGGGTATTTTCTATGTCACCTCACTCTCTATTCTGTTTGTGCACATGTGTGATCTGTGAGCAAACACAGGCTGGGACTAGCCGGTGGGTGGGAAACCAGAGTGTGGAAAGACCCAAGGCTGGAGCTGGAGAGTGGCTAAACAGGGCCTTGGGTCCAGCCATGGATCTGTGATGGATTTGGGGTCTGTTGTGTGTTTGAGGGCACATGGGTGTGCACCTGCCTGTGGGTTGAGGGTGGGGGTGTGGGGTTGTGCCACCAGCCCATATCACCCCTGAGCAGCTGGAGAGGAGGGATGGGGCTGTGCTGCCTGTGTGCTTGTGTTCATGGGAGCACCGTTGGTGGTTAGATGGGTGCAGGCAAAGGCACTGCTCAGCTTGTGTTGACCCGTGTGGATGTGTGTACACCACATGCCTGCATTTGCATCTTGGAGATTGGTGCTCAGCCTTGCTACTTGCTGGACCTGGGAATAGGGAGCAGCAGCCGCTGTCTAATGAATAAGGAAGGAGAAATCCCTGTGTCCCAGAACCCTAGGATTTGCTTTCCCTTAGCAGCACCCACGTGAAGCACAACCCCACCCCTTGCTCTGCTCCTGATGGAGCCCCAGGTGCTGCTTGCTCCATTTGCAATGATGGCTCATGTCCAGCCTAGCATCACCCTCACGCCTGAAGACATTTGGGCAGGCAGGGGCTCAGGGAAGCAGGGGCAGTGTTGTAATCTCATTCTATAGGGGGAATGGTGGCAGACGGAGGGACGCGTGTGCATCTCCTCATTGTGCCTGGTCCTGTCCAAATGCAAGGGACAGGGGCTGTCCTGGGACCTCTCTTCTGTCTCCCTCAGTCTGCATTTCCACAGACCACAAAGATCCTCAGCGTCAGCATTTCCTTCTGTGCTTGCTTGGTATGACTGATCTCCAATAAATGTGATTCTGTGGTTTGTGGTTGCTTCTCGTGTCTAGAAAACCTTCATGATAGTCCAAGGTCCCCCATCTCCTGTCCCCGGCTTGCAAAGATGTCCCTCTTGGAGCCAGGAGCATGCCAATGGTGCGAGTGGGTCCAGGTGCCCACTTGCGTCCCATGGTCCCGCTGACTCCTTGCCCAGCAGGGCTCAGCCTCCAGAACATGGTGCCTCTGGGTTGGGCCTGGCTCTGCCCGGCTCTGCCCACACAACTGTGCCTGACATCCATTAATAATGCAAGGGAACAGGATCGTCCCGTGTAACCCCATCCCCTGTCCTGTCTGAAACAGCAGCTCAAGGGCTGCTGCTGCTGAGCTGGCCATGGACGCCAGGAAGGTGAGTGCCATCATGGGGGACATCACAAGGTGGTTTGGAGGGATCTGTCCCCTGCCTTCAGTGCAGCATGGCTGGGCGCTGCCCAGCTTCCCAGGGGCTCATCCAGTTCCTGGCAGGTGCTGGGTGCGCGGAGCTGGACCTGTCTCATTCCCCCTCCGTCCTGTGTCCCAGCAGGCTGAGCAGGATATCTGCGTACGAACAGCCGTGGGACTCCACCAGGCAGAAGGTAGAGCTGGGGCTCAGGACACCTGCAGCGTCCCAGTGCCTTCAGCCCAAACCCCCATGTCAGGGAGCCGGGCTGGGGCAGAGCCACAGCTGTGGTGGCACTGGGACCACTGGCCATGCTGGTGGGCCTGGCCTGGGCAGTGGTGATGGGGAGGGGGTGTCCTCCCCACCCTGGTGGCTCTGAGCACCGTGGTCGTAGCAGGAGGGCTCTGGAATGATGTGAAGCCCTGCAATGTGGCCCCAGGCTGCGGGGTGGAGGGAACAGAGCTGGTGTGGAGGGGACAGAGCTGGGTTAGGTGGGGATGACACCCCTGCCCCCCCTGCACCACCCCACGCTCACTGTTTTCAGGGCCGGGGGAAAGATGGGTGGCCAGCAGTGAAGACCCCCTGCAGCTTCTCTTCGCTGGGAAGGAGGTGCAGGTGAGAGTGACAGGGACATGGGCATCAAGGGGACAAGAGTCCCTGGGGAACCAGACAGGAGCAGGGGGCTCTGTCCCAGCTACCTGCCATGCTTGGGACCCTGATGGGTGCTGAGGTCTTGGGCTGATCCTGCCCTACACCTCTATGGGCCCCTCTCTTGTGAGGGGCCCCTGGGGATTACTAGATTTCAGGGGAAGGGAGGGGGGTCTCCCCCCACCCCTGCCTGTGCGAGGCTCTCTAAGCCACCCCTGCCATCTCCATCTCACTGTGCCCAGTCCCTCCTTTACCCTGCACTGATCATACTGGGATGGGGGAAAGCTAAACATTATCACCCTCCCTCCCTTGTGCCAGGACAGCTTCTTGACTATCAATGATGTCTTCCACTTGGATGCAGGACAGGTATCCTTCTTCTGCACCCCTGTCCCCAGCCAGATAAGCCAGGGACATGCTGGCCCAAGCTGTGGGCTGGGGCACCCAGCTGTGGTCCCGGGGGCACTGGGCACCTCTGCCAGCTCCTCAGGTGTACAGGCAGTGCTGGGGACCTGGGGCTTGGTCCTATGTGTGGGTCTGCTGGTGTTTCTCACCCCTTCCCCATTTCCTCTTGGGTGCTGTGCCATGGCTGCCATGCTGTCTATGCCTTACTGCCGGTGTCGTGCTCTCTCTGGTGTGCTGTGCACCACTGTGCCATGCCATCTGTGCTGTGTCATGCCATGTATGCTGTGCATCTATGCTGTGCCATCCATACTGGGCTATCTGTGCTGTGCTACCCATGTCATACCATCAGTCTTGTGCTGGGCCCGATCCATGCCAATGCCCTCTGTGCTGGCCATCTGCACTGTGCTGTCCATGCCAGACCATGCTGGCTGTGCCATGCTGGCTGTGCCATGCCATCCCTACTCTGCTGGCTACATCTCTCCTCCCAGGAGAAGGTCCTGGAGTTGGCAAGACCACAGCTGGCTCTAGTTCCCTTTGGCTACAGCATGTCCCTTCTGCTGTGGGACCCCCATGGCCCTGGGACCCAGCTACCCTTCCAGAGCATCATCTGGCAGGTGAGGGCACAGGGCATGGCAGGGGAGAGGCGACAGTGCAACTGCACAGTGCTGGGCTCCTGGGTTGTCCAGCTGACCCCGGTCCTGCTGGCATGGGTGTGAGACCCAGCCACGGGTGCCAAGAACCAATGGCTCCCAGCTTGACCAGCTTGTCCCCAGGTGATTGACACCATCTTCCAAGAACTGGAGGCTTTGGGGGGCGATGCACAGAGCCTGAAAACTGTCAGCCTGGTCCAGGTAGGGTAGGAGCAGGACTGGCCACAATGCTCTGGGGTGGGGGCTCCCCTTCCCTCTCTGCAACTGGCCAGACCCTGCTGTGCCAAGGGGCATATATTGCCCCAGTACTGGAATCCAGTCCCCTATGCTGGAGGGTGACCAGGGGCTGGAGACCTTTGGATCCCAGGTTTTCTCACCTCTTCGCAGGACTTCCCAGGCATGGGAAGCCTTGGCTGCCCACGGGGTGTCTCCCAGGCTCCAGCAGCATGGTGGGAACAGAGGAGCCCTCTAACACCTTCCTGCCCACCTCACGGCTGGGCTTTTCCTGCCAGCTACTGCTCCCTGTGGCCTGAAGGTCTCTCTGGTGTGTCCTTGGTTGGCACAAGAGCAATGCCAGCTCCTGCCACTGGGCTGGGCCCTGCTCTTTGGCTCCGGGATGCTGCCAGGGACTTGGCAATCTCCACACAGGACTTGGACATTCCCAGGACTCTGCATTTCCCTGGCCCCTGGGAGTGACCCTGAGATCTCTCCCTTCTCAGCCTTACCTGTGCATGGTCACGAACAGCCTGCATCCACAGTGAGTGTGGGATGCCAGCAGCCCCCTCTTTCTGCCCCTCTGCCTAACGCAGCCCCATTCCAGGTCTGCGCCCATGACAAAGCCTGGGACCTGCTCCGTCCTAACGGCCGAGCCCTGCAAGTGATGGATGTTGCACCCCTGGGCCTGTAGGTACCTGATGCTCCATGGTCGGGCAGGTACTCCTGGGGGGCTGGTACCCCAACATCAAGCGTGGGGCTGGGCAGGGAGCATGGTGCCCAGCCAGAGGATGGCCAGGGGTATCCCTCACAGAACCCAGGCATGCAGGAGGTGGGTGGACATGGCCGTCCTCACTCACTCTTGTCTCCCTCTGCTTCCAGGATTGTGGAGGAGGCAACAGAAATTGCCGTGCCCGATGCCCAAGCTGCCATCAGCGTCTACATGTGGGGGCTGGGTGCCATCCCAGCACTGTTCCAGGGGTGTGCACAACAGCCCCCCGCAGATGGGTGCTCAGCCATGCAGGGGTGAGGGATTCGGCAGATATCCCACAGGGTCGGGAAGGATTGGGCCACGGGGCACTGGGGCTGGCTCCGGCCACTGCTACAGTCCCACTCCTGCGCTGGCCTCTCCCTAGTGCCGGCAGCCTCTTCACTCTCATCGTGGAGCGGGAGCTGGAGGGCGGCAGGCACCAGCGCTCGGCCCTCAGGATCCTGGCACCTGGTGGGGCCATTGGGCCCTGCCCCAAGCCGTATGTACTGCAGCTGCACCTCTGCACTGGGGCTAAGCCACGTCCCCTCTGGCACCCCCGTGGTGCCTGCTGCGGGGTTGGGGGGGGAGGGTTGGTACCCGGAGGTGAAGCAGGAGGGACCCTGACACACCAGCAGAAGCCCACGGCTGGGACCCAAGGGGGTGCCACCACCTCCTGCGGACGTGGGCTTTTTCCCGGAGCGGCCAACCCATCCTTGGGCTGCCAAGGGTCGGGGCTCAGCCTGCCCGATGCGTGGGTCCCACCCTCATCCCTCTCCTGGGGTGTCTCTCGCCCCACATTCAGGGCACCGGCTGCCAGCCACCCTCTGCCTGACACTGGCTGCTTGCCCTGGATCGTTGAGCGGATGCTGGAGGGGAACAGCCTGACGTTCCTGCTGCTGTGTGTCACGCTGCCAGGTAGCCCCTCGGACTGGGATGCTGCTTTGGGGTGCCCCCTCCCTCAAGTTTTCCCCCATCCCGCCTCACACCTGGCACTTGGTCCCTGGGCACTGCCTGGGGATACCCGCCACTGTCGGAAGCTGGACACCAGCTTTACTCATCCCCATCAGCCCCAGCCCTGGGCCACGCACTGGGACGTCCCCGTGTTGGTGGACCCCCATGGCCCCTGCCCAGGGCTTGCTGCTCTCCCAGACACCTCCAGAGAAGAGATGCTGGCAGCCCTGCAGCTGGCCAAGCGGGTGAAGGGGCTGGCCAAGACGATCTCAGCCACATTCTGGGACCCTGTGCAAGAGGTCGCGGCACGTCGGAGGGAGATCCGAGGGCTGCGGATGGAGCTGCTGGCTGGAGCTGGCCTCTCTGAGCAGAAGATAGCTGTGGCCCAGCTGCGGAGAGCCCTGCGGGAGCTGCAGGTTGGGGAATGCCCCTGGCCACCAGATGGGACCAGGATGGCACCAATACCCCTCCAGTTGGATGAGGTCCGGGCTCCATCCTGGTGTCAAGACCCTTGTCTGGCACTGAGGGCAGGGGCTGGGCGCTGCCTGCTGGGGGGGGGG